GAAATGAATGCTTCATGGTTCCTGCTCTCTGGAAGCTTATGGGCTAGTGGCCAAGACACATACATGTATAATCAAGCATAGGAAGTCCTATAACAGGGCAATAGTGATTTTAATAACAACAACAACAACAATAATAGTAGCTAGTATTAATGCTATTGAGAACATGCTATGTAATGGTCCCTATGCTAGGAGCTGTACCTGGATTTTGCTTAATGCTTGCAATAACTCTATGAGGTAAGTAATATTGTTACCCCCTTTTACAGATGAGGAAACCGAGGCTCAGAGGTGGAATGACTGACCCAGGGCCCACAGCCAGCAAGAGGCAGAGCCAGAGCTTGAACCCAGGCAGTCAGATTCCTTCTTCACTGAGGGAAAGGCCACCTCAGTTGGGGAGGAGGAAAGGAGGTCAGGGAGGGCTTCTCAGAGGAGGTGACATTTTCTTGGATTTACACATGCACATCTTAGTTACCCCACCTCCCCCCTGGAGGCAGGTACACAGGTGGGCTGGTCCACATCTCTGTCCCCAGTGCCCAAGCGCAGGCCCTGGGGCAGGCCAAGGGGACTCGGTGACTCTGATGAAGGAATGCGTGAGGAGCCTCAGCCTCACCTCGGGCCTCGTTGCCAGCCTGTCTTGCTCACCAGGACAGCCCGTCGCCAGCCTCGCAGCAGGAGCATCGGGTCCCATCCCCAAGGCAGGGCCGGTCCCCCAGGGACCAGGGAGAGGGCGGCCCCACCAGCAGTGTGCTGTGAGGACAGGACCGCTCTGGGAGGGGGTGATCTCTCTGCTGGACGGCTTCCCTGGGGCCTGACAGGAAGGAGCCAGAAATGCGTGTTTAACTACCCTGTATACAATAGAGAGCTAGTGGGAATCTGCGGTACAGCACAGGGAGCTCAGCTCCGTGCTCTGTGATGACCTAGATGGGTGGGATGGGGGTGGGTGGGAGGGAGGTCCAAGAGGGAGGGGATATGTGTATACAGAGAGCTGATTCACTTTGTTGTACAGCAGAAACTAAAACAACATCGTAAAGCAAAACAAAAAGGAAATGCGCGTTTACAACAGGGTGGGGTCCACATCCAGCTCCCACCCCAGCTGCCTCCACCACGTTGGTCAAGCCCACCTTCCACAGACTGTCAGATCAGCCCTGTCCCATCACTCCCTCGCCACCCTGGCCACCATTATCACTGGCCCCTTCCTCTCACCGTGAATGTCTGTGCGTGCTGGCCCCCAGTCCTCTTCCTCAGTGTGACTGCAGGGCTCACCTTGGTGCCGGCCATCAGCCCGCCAGGTGATGGGGGGCTGGGCCCAGGTGGGGCTGGTGCGGAGATGTCAGAACCCACGTGTGTGTTGGGGTGGGGGGGCGCACAGGGACCACGAGCTTTGGGAAAAGGGCTTCTGAGGCGGCCCCCGCCCGCCCCAGCTTGAAATCCAATTTAAAAAATTGGAACCGTGTACGGTGCACTGAAAAGACTGGAATGTGTCTTTCCACAATGTGCATTGGCACACAGACACAGAATTTTACTTTAAAAAACCCCTCGTATCTATTTAAAGTGACCTGGAGGCATTTTCAATGACAGCAACAGGTTCCCCTTGAAGAAACTTGGAGGATAGCTGCAGAGGAAAGAGGAGGCAAAGCAGCCTTGAGAACATGCGCCCCGCTTTGACAACATCAGGAAGAATCCCCGCCAACAGCAAAGCTCAGAGTCACTCTGAATGGTGGTCGCTGCGATGACGGGTGTTGGAAGAAGGAAGGTCTTCACAGACCGGCCTTCAGGAGGGGCACGGCTGAGCGGGAACAGCTGGCCTGCTTTCTGCAAGAGAAGGCAGCTGACTCGCACCAGAAGCCCTGGGCTGACCCAGCTGGCAGGGCACAGATGTGAAGGATGAGGTCATCTGAGACACCAGCACATGAATAGCTGCCCCAGGGAGCATATAGAGCCTCAGGGAGCACGAGACCCCCTGGGCTGGAGTTTCTGGCAAGAATCTGTCTCCAGAAACGGCCCTGAGATGGGGCGGGCCTGCCCTGTTACCCAGAGAGGCCGGAGGAAGAGAAGCTGCAGGCACGGCCACCTCCTCTGTGCCTGAGATTCATAAACACTCAGGAGGACGGAGCAGGGCATGTGGCTCCCTGGGTCCCTCGGGGAAGGCGGGGCCAGGCTGGGATTGGCGCCAGCATCTGGGTGTCCTCAGGGATCAGTGGTCATCACACAAGAATTCACCAGATGAGTTTACTTCTCAAAAGCAGGAGTAAAAGCCAGGGACCGTAGGAAACCAACTCAAAGGATTCTTTTTTTTTTTTTTAATTTATTTATTTTATTTTATTTATTTATCTTTGGCTGCCTTGAGTCTTCGTTGCTGCGTAGGGGCTTTCTCTAGTTGTGGTGAGCGGGGGCTACTCTTCGTTGTGGTGCACGGGCTTCTCATTGCAGTGGCTTCTCTTGTGGTGGAGCATGGGCTCTAGAGTGCAGGCTCAGTAGTTGTGGCACATGGGCTCAGTAGTTGCGGCTCACCGTCTCTAGAGCACAGGCTCAGTAGTTGTGGTGCACGGGCTTAGTTACTGTGCGGCATGTGGGATCTTCCCGGACCAGGGCTCGATCCCATGTCCCCTGCATTGGCAGGCAGATTCTTAACCATTGCACCACCAGGGAAGCCTGTCAAAGGATTCTTGACCTCTGCCAAGGAAGACCACAAGAGATAAAGGTCGTTCCCCAAATAATTCACTGGGGAGATGGGGGAGGACGGGTCAGGCCGGCTGGCGGGGCTCTGACAGCAGTAGACACTGGAGAGAGGATGGCTGGACTGGGGAGCAAAGAGGCGGGATCACGATTGAGAAGGGAGGGCTGGTGGGACGTGGTGACCAGCCTCCGGTGCTCTGTGGATGCGCTTCTGTACAAGACTGGCCTCCCGGTGACTATCTTTGGGAGACCTTGGACAGCCACCCCAAGGTTTGCAAAATCCAGTTCCTGAAGCACAAAATACACAGAAACTCAGCCTGACACCCAGGCCTCCTGCTGCCCCGCCCCCCGTCCTGCCCACATGGGCTACACTGGTTTCTCATCCTTCCCTACCCCTCCCTGCCCCAGGGCCTTTGCTCGTACTCTTCCCTCTATGCCTGTCCTCTTTTCCCTACCTGATGAATCCTTGCTCAGTCTCCAAGGCCCAGCTCAAACATTGCTCTTCCTCTGGAATCCCTGGACATGTCTCCATGGAACGGCTGGCCCCTGAACTCCACCCTTCTGAACCCACACTGGCCATCCCAGACCGTCCCAGCCCGTCCCAGCCCGTCATCCCTGCTTGTGTGTCTTCCTCCATGGATGGTGGGCTCCCTGGGGGCGGCCACCCACTCACTCCTCTCAGAGACACCAGGCGTCTAGAAAGCAGTACGTGCCAGGAGATGTCAATTTCTTTCTTTCTTGGGTTCTAGACCTGCACTGTCCGATGTGATCACCGCCAGCCACTTGTGCTACTGAGCACTTAAAACATGGCTTGCTGAAAATTTAATATCCTAATTGAGATGTGTTTAAAAGCAAAAGGTTTAGAAGGCTTAGGGAAAAAAGGAATAAAATCTCTTATTAATTCTTGTTTATATTTATTGCAAGTTGAAGTGATAATATTTTAGATATATTGAGTTAAATAAAATACATTATTAAAAGTAATCTTGGGCTTCCCTGGTGGCGCAGTGGTTGAGAATCTGCCTGCCAATGCGGGGGTCACGGGTTCAAGCCCTGGTCTGGGAAGATCCCACATGCCACGTAGCAACAGGGCCCGTGAGCCACAACTACTGAGCCTGCGCGTTTGGAGCCTGTGCTCCTCAACGAGAGGCCCGCGCACCGCGATGAAGAGTGGACCCCGCTCGCCACAACTAGAGAAAGCCCTTGCACAGAAACGAAGACCCAACACAGCCAAAGATAAATAAATAAATTTATAAAAAAAAAAAAAAAAAAGTAATCTTACCTCTCTCTTTTTACTTTTTTTTTTAAACATCTTTATTGGAGTATAATTGCTTTACAGTGGTGTGTTAGTTTCTGCTTTATAGCAAAGTGGCATTTAAATGGCTGGAAACTGCCTGTGAGACATCAGTATGATAAGGTTTACCAAAGGCTGATGAGACCCTGGGCCACGTTAACAGAAGCAGAGTGTCCATAATGAAGGAGGTAAAAGTCAGCACTACGGCTATCCCAGGAGCAGGAGTTTCTGTGCCGGGTCCTGCATCTTAGGGGGGCACTGACCACCTGGAACACGCTCAGGAGACCCACCCAGACATGGACTGAGATGCAGTGGTAGAAGGACCTGTTTGAGGTCCTGGGTACCTGTCTCTGCAAGGCTGTCCCTGGGCGGGAGTGAATCTGTTCTGAGGTCTCCGAGGGCTGAGCTGGAACCAGCAGCGGCAGGTGTGGGGAGTTAGACTCTAACAGATTTCTCTCATGGGAAAGAGGGCTCCTTAATAAGCAGGAAGTTCCCCATCCACAGTGGTGCTCAAGCAAGGCTGGATGACCAACTGGGATAATGTTAAGGGGACTGGAGCATGAGCTGGGTCCCTGGATCTCAGAGTCCCTTGGGGTTTCAGGCAGAGCTTCTCCGGGGCCCAGCATGGCTATGCCTGTGGGGTAAGGTGGTCCTGGGCTCTGTCTGATGTGGTCCGATTCCTCCCCAGGGGCCAGAGTCAGAGTCTGATTGCCCCCAGCTGGGGCCCATTCTCGAGACAGCCTGGGGTTACTTGCCAGCAGGCTAAGTGAGTCGGTTCAGGACAGTGTGAGCACCGAGGCCCACAGTCTCTGAGGCGAGGATGTTGCTGACTCAGGCTTCCCAAGGCAGCTCGGTTCCTGAGCGGGACAGAAGGGCAGACAAAGAGCCCAAGAAAAGTAGAGTCCAACCCCAGAGCTGTGCCGACAGAGAGATTCAGTGGGTAAATAATAGGATATTTGCTCACGCACAAGGCATGTCTGGATGGAACTTCTTATGGAAATTTTCAAGTATAGACCCAAGTGGACAGGTTAGTACCATGGACTTCATGCACCGTCACCTGGCTGCAGCCGTGAGCCACGCACGTGTCCTGATGAGGCTGTGTCTGGGAGCAGGTTAGGGGAGCCAGTTTCCGTTTATAGAAGCCACACTCTGTTCTGCTCATGAGACCTTTTAAACAATAGTGAGGAAGTGGGGCAGGAAAGCCCCCCCACGCCCAGTGGGGTCAGCACCTTGCTGTGTGGGGTGGGGCACGTCACTCTCTGGGTCTCACCTGCCTCAGCTAGAAACGGGGGACCTGACCTAGATGTTTCCCAGACACCAGAGACATGCCCGGAGCTGAATTCATCACCTGTCCCAAGTCTGCTCTGTCTGCCAGATCCCCATCTCAGCCCATGACACTGTTGTCCACCCAGTCACACAGAGCAGAAACCTGGGTGTCATCCAGACTCCCTCCCCTCCCTCTCACCCCCAGTCTCTTCAGTCATGGGTCCTGCCTCTTCTCCCTCCTGAGTGTCTTCCACTGTGGCCATCATCATTCCTGTTGCCTACTGCACCAGTCCTAGCCTCCAGTTGCACCCCTTTTCTTCTCCTACCCAGAAGCCACATCCGGGGGGGATCACACTTACATTAAGATCTGGATTTTGATGCCCAAACCTCTATCTGCTTGATTTAGAGGACAGTTCATTTCCCCAAATATTTATGAGATCCTCTGTGGGTACTTATACCCCTCAAAGTCAGTCCCCACAACAACCTTGTGGAGGGACAGGTGTGATCATGACACCTGTGCCTGCTGGTCTCCTTAGATTAAGGGTATCAGCTGCTGTGGATGGCCGAGTGAGGGGTCCACATTGTTATTGCTTCCCAGCCTCCTCAGGTATAATCTGAGACTGGACCCCGACTTGGGGGGCAGGGAGAGACCAAAGAAAGAGGTAGGCCACTCCAAATTCATAGATGACAGGTTTAATAAGCAAGGGCACTTACTTACAAGGCTTGCCTTGGGCAGCTGCAAGATAAGTAGGTTTCCGCAGGCACCCACCAGAATCTTAAAGTTTATATAGAGGCCTCAACTGGGTTTAGTCACAGACCCAGTCCAGATAGCTCAGCACCATCAACACCACATTTCTAATTCAAGGCCGATTCTTTGGAGCCCAAGGTAATCTACAGATTCAATTCAATGCAATCCCTATCAAAATACCAATGGCATTTTCACAGAACTGTATAAATATGTGTGTTTCACAGAACAAATAATTTTAAAATTTGTATGGAAACACAAAAGACACCAAATAGCCAAAACAATCTTGAGAAAGAAGAACAGAGCTGGAGGTATCATACTCCCTGACTTCAAACTATACTACAAAGCTTCTGTCATCAAAACAGTATGATACTGGGACTTCCCTCGTGGCACAGTGGTTAAGAATCCACCTGCCAGTGCAGGGTACATGGGTTTGAGCCCTGGTCCGGGAAGATCCCACATGCCGCGGAGCAACTAAGCCCGTGCACCACAACTACTGAGCCTGCGCTCTAGAGCCCGTGAGCCACAACTACTAAGCCCATGTGCCACAACTACTGAAGCCCGCATGCCTAGAGCCCATGCTCTGCAACAAGAGAAGCCATTGCAATGAGAAGCCTGCACACCACAACGCAGAGTAGCCCCTGCTCATCGTAACTAGAGAAAGCCCGCGGGCAGCAACAAAGACCCAATGTGGCTAAAAATAAATAAATAAACATTAAAAAAAAAAAAAAGACGTGACCGCTAGCTGACCTGGGAGCTGGACCCGGGCAATTGGAGGCTCCCACCCCCTTTCCTGTCCTTAGAATATGCCTTCTGCTTGCCCTCCCAGCTCCAAGAAGCTGCTCCAAGGATACAGCCTTTTATGTTTTCCTTTTTTTCATTGAGGTACAGTTTATTTACAATATTATATAAATGATAGGTGTGCAATATAATGATTCACAGTTTTTCAAGGTTATACTCCATTTAGAGTTATTATAAAATATTGGCTATATTCTCTGTGTTGTTCAATACATCCTTGTAGCTTATTTATTTTATATATAGCAATTTGTACCTCTTAAGCCCCTACCCCTATCCTGCTTCCCCTGGTAAATCCCTCCATCTCTGCTCCCCAGGGGCACCAGCGTTCTAGTTCCTTGTGGATCTTCCCAGAGAGGTTCGATCCTTATAGTCTCATGTGTTTATATCCCCTATTATCCTCCCTTTTTAAAAAAAATCACCCAGGGGGTGGAATCCTCTGCACCCCGCAGTACCACGCTCGTGCTTTGTCCTCGAAGGGTTGGCCCTTGCTGGTCCATGTACATCTGCTCCTCTTGCAACAGCCAGAGACTCTTTGATGCTGCGTCCGCGTCGGATGAGTTTGGTTCTTTCTTGTGCCTTGTTTTCGTTTGTAGTGCGTCTTTTTAAATCTTTCCTTCTATGGTCTGAGTTGTTCTTTGCTGCATATGTGTGTGATCCTTCTGATCATTTGGAAGGCCCATGGTCTGCCGGCAGTGATACAGGTAGGCATTATCGGCCCCAATCTGGTGAGGAAACAGGCTCAGAGAGGGGAAGTGACTTGCCTGTGGGGGCCCAGCCTGGGAGGTCTGAGTCGGGATGCAGCTCAGGTGTGCCGCCCCAGGCTCCAATCAGCTCCACGTCTACAAGCCCTCTACCGAGACAGCAGCAGGACCCGGGTGGCAGGGGCGGGCTGGGGGGCTGGGTTCAGCCAGGCTGGAGGGATCTGGAAGCACATGGGGGCGTTCTGTCTCTGAGGAGCTGGGTTCACACTTGCAGGAGTGGGACGGCAAGGCGCTTGGGGGAGGTTTGTGAGCCACCTTGCCATGTGTGTGGGAGGCTACGGGTGATGGGGTGAGAGGTGATGAGGCCCCTGCCTGCTGGGACCCAGGGAAGGAGGGAAGGGGTGAGATGACTGAGGAGACTGCAGCGAGACAGTGCGGGAGGCTCAGTGATGCTCCATTTCTGGCACTGGGAGAGGATGAGAGGGAGTGGAGAGGTGGCGGGCGGAGGTTGCTGTAGGTTATGGAAAATTCCAGGCTGGAGGTGCAGCTCCAAGAGGGATGGGGTGGGTGTGTCAGGAGCTGGGGAGAGGACTGGGTGCTGACCTGGGGCCAGGAAAAGGACACGCCTCTCTGTAGGGGCCTCACCTGGCCTGGCCCTGTGCTGGAAACAGGTGCTTGCCCCCGGCTGGCCCATCCTGGAGCCTATTCATTGGGGGCTGGTGGGTGCCCTTCTGCACGGGACCAGGCACCTGGCAGGGCACAGAGACACGGGCTCTCAGTCGCCCGCTCTAGGGGCGCTTTCCCAGTGGTCTGTGCTGCCCACCAACGGGCTCTGCCCGCCCCACCCCTGCCGTCCCGCCCGGCACACAAAGGTGGCCCTGCTTCAGCCACACCTCTCCTTACAAGCAGGTTGCCATCGGCCTTGACGGCTGGTGAGACTGAAGGGCTCTGTCCCGGCCCTTATTCCTCCTGCATCCCTGAGGCCTCCTAAGCCAAGCTCCCCGTGGTGCGTCCCACGACAGGGAGGGGGTGGTGGTGACGGTGACCTCACCATCTTTCATAAACAGGCACTGGCCAGTTGGAGGCAGCATCGCTATTCCCTTTCCACAGATGCAGAAACAAGCTCCCAGAGGGGCGGTGCAAGCGCAGCCCTGCTGAGCCCGGCCTTCCACCCCGACCTGCCCGCCTTCCGCTCAGGGTGAGGGAGGCTGGAGCCAGAGGGGAAGCCCAGGAAGCTGAGCCTGGCCGCGGACACCTTCCTGGAGCCTTGGGCCCTGGGTGCCGGAGGGGCAAACCTGTGCGAGTGGGGCCCGACTGTCATCTGTTCTAACACAGCCTGGGCCCTGCTGCTGACACCCATGCTCTCTGCCCAGACCCCTGTCCGCTCTTGTCCTCCCCACTAAAGCCCCACCGGCCTCATCAGCCTCATCTGGAACCACTGCCCTCCACGCCCTCTGGTCCATCCCACGGGCCCCTCACTGAGGCCCAGACACACCTTATGCTTTCCCACCTCTGTGCCTTTGCTCTAGAAAGTCCCTCTTGAATCTCTGCCTCCCACCATCCTCCCTCCCTTCAAGGCCCTGCGTTAACCCCTCCTCCAGGCAGCCTTCCCTGACTGGTTCCCTTTCAGGGGTGAACACAGCGAGGGAAGGGCAGGGTGCAGGGAAAAGGGTGCTGGCTCTGGGCCAGCCTAGGCTTCCCCAAGAGGCCCCGAGACTGCAGCCACTCAGTGTTCACATTTCTGGGTTTTGCCTTCGAGATTCCATCTAAAACACCCTCCTGCTCTCTCAGGTTGAAGCTCAGACACTCCGTCTGCTGCTGTGTCTCATCGTCAACCTCAATTTCACCTCCAGTACTTGCCCTTGTCCCCATTTCTTTCACCAAAAAAACAAACAAACAAACAAAAATCACATCATGGATATATCTTACAAGTCCTCATAAGTCTTTTTTTTTTTTTTTTTTCCCGGCCACGCTGTGTGGCTTGTGGGATCTTAGTTCCTGGACCAGGGATTGAACCCGGGACCTTGGCAGTGAGAGCTCAGAGTCTTAACCACTGGCCCACCAGGGAATTCCCCCATACGTTCTTTTTGGATGGAGGTGGGGCACAAGAGATAAAGGAAGGAAGGAAGGTTGGCTTTGGTGCTTAGATCTATCAAATGGGTGGCTACTGTCCATTTAGAGCCCCAGCTCTCGCCTCAGGGGAGTTCCCCGGGCCAGGAGTCCCCTTTGTTCCATCTTGGCTGGGGGGCAGGGTCAGGTAGCTGCTCCTGGCCCCTCCTCAAGGCTGGGGCTGGGGTATGGAAGTGAGGTCAGCGCCCCAGCTATGTGATGACAAGCAGTGGCATCTGGCACCCTAAGAGTGGGCCTGGTTGGGGGTGGGAGGGCCGGCTGAAGTTCTGGGTCACCGCACTCAGAAGTCCTCCCTGTCCCAGGGCTGTCATGTGGGGACCTGCCCTGCTCACCGGACAGTCCCGGGCCCCCTGAGGCTGACCTGTTAGCAGGGTCACCCCCAGGGCTGGTTTCCCTCCTTTTGGGGGCCGAGCCTTGGTGATGCTGTGAAGAGTTGGTCCCCTCTTCCCTTGAAGGATTAGGGCAGCATTTTGGGGGCAGCCCAGGCCTGGAGGCTCAGCCCCCTGGCCCGGCTTGGCCCTAACTGGCTGTGTTACTCGGGCAAGCTCCCTGGCATCTCTGGGCTCCAGTCCCTTCATCTGTGAAAAGGGATAATAATCCTGCTTCATAGGATTGGGGGGCTGCATGGGAAAAGACTTTGCTCAGTGCCTGGCCCTGGAGAGGCACCAGAGGGGGCCCTTCCACCCTTGGTCTCCTGAGGACAAATAAGGAGGTTGGACCCTGTGTCCTGAAGGAGGCCTGGGGTGCCATCCCAGCCCCTGCCCGCTTCTCCATGGGCCTCTGCTGGTCTCTGTCTGTCCCTCTGCCCTGCACACACCGAGCAGCGGGGGCCTTTGGACAGCGCTGCCAGCCCCTCAAGTCCCATTTGTCCAGAATAGCTTGGACTCCAGTGACTTACAGGCGAAGCCTCAGAGCTGGTGGCCTGAAGTCTTTTTATAAATACTCTGTGGAAATCATTCTCCTGGACTTCTTAAAGTGCGACTTGGGTGGACTCTCTGGTCCCTATGCCTGCCCCCCAGGCCCATGGCCCTGCTGCCTCTGGACTTAGTCAGGACCTGCTGTGCCCAGGCTCCATGCTGGGCATTGGGCACGCGGAAGGGAACTGGTGGAGGCCCCAGACCTGGGTCTACACCATGCGAGCCTGTGATGGAGGTAAACAGATCGCCTTGGACACACAGGGACAAGCATTTTCCAGGATTTGTTGTGACCAATACACTGCTCACCTTTATCCACGTGTTGCTGAATTCACAGCAGCTCGTGGTCGTTCGGTATTTTCTCCATCAGTGGATGCTAAAACGACAGTTGCCAGGTGACTCCCCAGGTGTGTGCGTGAAGTGAGACCCTCATTCTTGAAAAGGTTGAGGTCTATGATGTAGCTTAATTTCCCCGACTTACAGGTGGGGAAACTGAGGCCCAGAGAGAGGCAGTGACTTGTCCCAAGCCTCAGTGGAAGAGCCCACTCCAGAGCCCAAGTAGGCTGGCATCCACTTGTCAAATCTGGGTCTGGGGTCCTGGGTGAAATACTCCTGGAAGATCCTGGCCCATCCCCAGGATGTACACATGGGTGAAATGCTCCTGGAAGATCCTGGCCCATCCCCAGGATGTACACATGGGTGAAATGCTCCTGGAAGATCCTGGCCCATCCCCAGGATGTACACATGGGTGAAATGCTCCTGGAAGATCCTGGCCCATCCCCAGGATGTACACATGGGTGAAATGCTCCTGGAAGATCCTGGCCCATCCCCAGGATGTGCACATGGGCACAAAGTACTGGCATCTAGAGGATACAGACCAGGCATGGTTGCTAAACATCCTGCAATGCACAGGACAGCGGCCCTTCCCCCAACAGAGAATTCTCCAGCCCCAAATGTCACTAGTCACTAGCGTCAGGGTCTCTGTTAAGCATGTTTTTCACTGCAGGACTTGTCAGAGCCTCTACTGGGAAGAGTAGACAATGTTTTCCAAGTGCGGAGAGAATCAGGATTTCTTGTTTGAGGTACCCGTGGTAGGACCAGTGTCCAGGGAATGCACTTTGGGAGACATAACTAGACTCTCGGTGGGGAATTCCTGGCTGTTGGGTGAAGGAGAAATGGTACTTGATGCCTGTCTGTCCTTGGGGGAAAAGTTCCTGCAGCAGTCCTGAGTCAGCAAGGGCCCTGTCAGTAGGAAGAGGAGGGCGGGTGTCAAGATGAACCTGTGTTCAAATCCCCCCCCCTTTTTTTTTTGCTGTGCCTCACGGCTTCCGAGATCTTACTTCCCCCACCGGGGATCGAACCTGTGCCCCCAGCAGTGGAAGTGTGGAGCTCTAACCACTGGACCGCCAGGGAATTTCCTCAGATCCCTTCTTAACTTTGAGAACTTGGCTGGGAAGTGGCGACGCCTCCCTGGCCCTCAGCCCCCCTCCCTGGACACAGCACTCCTGACACCCACCGGTGCAGGCTGTTCTCGGGTTAGAGACCACGCCCAGAGCAGATTCTGAACGTGAGAAGCGTGAACAATTGTGTTGCCACTGACTTTTTTCCCCAGGCCTTGGTCTGCACCTTATACTTCCCTTTCTACTGTGGGACGATTCTCCCCAAGTTCAGAGGGGAGGTAAGTGCGTTTCGGGGGCTCGATGACCGGGCCCTGCCTTGTGCTCTGGGCCGCCCGGGTCCCTACTGCTGAGAGGTGTGTGGGTGGAGAAAACAGTGCTCCTGGAAGACTTACTGTGTGCCAGGGCCCCCCGCCCCCAATGCTCCCGGGGTGCTCAGAGCATCCTGGACTGGGGTCCACCTAGTGGTTTGGGGCAGCTAGAGGTGACTGGCTGCAGCCTGTTTCCTGGGGTGGCTTTGTGGCCGTGTGGGCAGAGGGCACCCTGAGGGCAGCACGGCCGCCTGAATTGCAGCGCTACATGGACGGTGCTCTGAGCAACAACTTGCCCTTTGTGGACTCCCCCTCCACCATCACCGTGCCACCCTTCCACGGGACAGTGGACATCTGCCCCCAGAGCAGCTTGGCCAGCATATGCATGAGCTGAACGCCTTCAATGCCACCTTCCAGATCTGCACCAAGAACCTCTTCCTGGGGGTCACCTCCCTCATACCCTCCAGCCCCGAGGTAGGTCGGGACCCCGTGAACGGCCTTGAAGGTGTTAGAGGTTTAGCTGTGATCTAGTGCCCCCTTGAGTCAGACTCTGTGCCCCTGAGCCCTCCCCACAGCCTCAGGGCAGTCAGGACACATGTCCTGAGTCTCACAGCCAAGCCCTTGAACTCAGCCTGGGCTCCAGTTGTATCCTTACTCGTCCCCCACTTCAAGGCAGTGCACCAAGGCCAACTTTGCTGAACTTCGGTTTAAGCCAGGCCTCTGCTGATGCTCTTCTGGGTCAGGCTCTGTGACAAGGTACTGCCGTCACCTCAGTTTCTTGGGGGAGGATACCAAGGCTCAGAGAGGTTAAGCATCTTCTTCAAAGTCACACAGCCTGGAAGCAGCAAAGCCAGGCTTCAAATCCTCAGCTAGCCCAGACCCACACTCTTAAATGCTGCCCTAGACAGTGGCCAAACTGACCCTCTGTATGGTGGCAAGGCACAAGCACAGAAAACGATGGACAGCAGACCCACATTTCCTCCTTTTTGCCCCTTGGTATTTCTGGAAGTATTTCTTGCCAACAGTTTACCGTCATCACACGTTCCTCCACCCCAATCACATCCTGGCCCTCCCCTATTCCTTCATACCTCTTATGGTCCTGCGGTATTGTGTAATTTATGAAACAACGTCCTGTTCATTTAAGCTGATTCTCCCTACGCCCACGGGGTGGACAGAAAATCTCAGCCCTATTTTGTAGACAAGGAAGGCAAGGCTCTCGGAAAGACAGTGTGGACGTCTGGAGGTCACACAGAACGGGAAGGCAGAGCTCCTTCCCGGACCTGTGGGTACTTTTCCCCCACGAGTGGGGCTCTGTTTGAGACACACAGGGCTGGGCCCCGGCACTCCTCTGCCATCTCAGGCTGGCCCTGGCAGTTCTGGCAGTGAGCATCAAAGGGCAAAGGGAACCACCATGTACTGATCTACAGGGAACCAGGAATCTCTGGCTAGGCCTTGTCATCCTATTTCTCAGGGGATGGAACTGAGGCCAGAGAGTAGCGTCTGGAGCAAGAGCCCGCAGCCAGGGAGTCTCAGAGCCAGAACGTGAACGAGGCTGCGGGGAAGAAGACTGCTCAAGCAGATCTGCTCCACCTGGGGTCCTGGGACCCTCTCTGCCCAGTGCTGGGCAGGGACCCTCGGGGTCTCTGAGCCCTGCTGAGGGGTCTCTTGGGAAGCATAGGCTGCCCTGGGATGACTTGCAGTTGAAGATGAGTCTCTGGCCTGTGACCACCAGCTTGAGGGGCAGGTCCAGGCCTTCCCCATCCCACCCTGACCTGTGTGTTGGCAGGTAGGGGCCGACAACTGCAGACAAGGCTACCTGGACGCCCTGAGGTTCCTGGAGAGACGCAGTAGGTGGCAGCCTCCACAGTAGCTGGGGATCGCCCCCCACGCGAGTGCCAGTTGAATCCCGCTTTTCAGCTGTTTGAGTTTTTAGCGACCTCGACTCACTCATTCTCTTCCTCAGCGCCTCCTCTATGTTTGGCCTGAGCTGGGGACACAGAGAGGAATCACACATGTGTCCTACTCTCAAGCTGCCCACCACCTGGTGCGAGGGAGACAGATCCAGAGAGAGCATTTCCCCAGGGTGATGGAGGGATGCTCAGGGCCGTGGGAGCCCAGCGGGGACACCTAACCCAGCCCAATGGGTTGGGTGGGCAAGGAGGGCTTCCTGGAGGTGGTGACGTATAAGCTGGGTTTTAACTAGTTATGAAGACTATAGAGAGATTGAGGATGGAAAGGAAGAGGGCACTCTAGGCAGAGGGAAGAAGGGCAAGAGCAAAGGAACAGAGCTTTGGTACCTTGAGGGCACGTACCTCAGTGGGGCCGCAGAAGAGCGCGCGCGTGTGCGTGTGTGTGTGAGTGTGTGTGTGTGTGTGAGTGAGTGACAGAGCAATGGGTGGGCCAGAGAGGTTTGCTTAGCTGGAGAGCTTGGATGTCATCCCACAGGGCAATGCTCTTCAAAGTGGTGGAACTGAGATTTGAACTCAGGCCGTCTGGCTCCAGAACCCTTGCCCTGACCCCTACCCTACAGCCCTAAACACACAGCAGCTGGAAGCATTTGCTGAGCACATAATATGTACCCAGACCTGGGCTTGAGCTTTATATATTTATCACATCTAATTCTCACAACAGCCGTATGCAGCAGGTCTTAATTTTCCCCTTTCCCAGGGAGGGAAAGCAAGCATGGAGCTGTTAGGTCACAGAGCTATAGCAGGTGGTGACCACAGGATGTGAACCTTGGGCTGAGTCTTCAGGGCCTGGGGTCTGTTAACCACTAGCAGGTGCGTAGGAATCGGGGCAGAGCAGTGCCGGGGAGCACAGGACGAAGTCGTTCAGGACAAGCCACAGGCCCATCCATCCTGTGGCAACGGGGTCCCCAGAGCTGGGGAGGCCACTGTCACCGGGAGGCTCCAGATGAGCTGACCTGTTGTATCTCTCCTCTCCCTGACCCAGGACTCACCAAGGAGCCAGTGCTGTGGACGTTGGTATCTAAGGAGCCCCCAGCCCCAACTGATGGGACCCGGGATGCTGACTGTGACAGAGGACAGAAGGCGGGCCTGTCTCTCTACCGGGCAGTGCCCAATGTGCTGGTCAGGGATGTGCTCGACTCTGAGCAACTCTCCCCGGAGCTGGAGGCTGCTACTGCCCCTCCCGTCCTATACTGACTCACCTACCGGGCGCCCTGCACGCAGGGGCCCGGGGCCAGGGACCCTGGCCTGAAGGTGCCTGTGGTCTGAAAGAGGACAGGACTCATTTATCGACAATCTAAGTGCTAGGCATGGTGCCGGGGCTCCTTTCATGTTGCCCCCTTCACTCCTCACCACGACTGGGGGCCCGTTTTTCTTAGCCCATTTCACTGATGAGGAAACTGAAGCTCAGAGAGGGGAAGGGGCTCACCAAGGTCTCAGAGCCTGCAATTGGGGGATTCGAACACATGCCTGTGTCTGAGAAAGCCAGGTCTTTGCCCACTGCCCAGGGAAGGGCAAGAGGTGCTGAGGGACAGAGGAGAGGCTCCAACAGAAGGTTCTGGACTCTCCAGATGGAGATGGACTCATTTCATCCCCCCCCAACAATTCTCTGAGGATGGTACTGAATTGTCCCCATTGGACAGTTGAGGAAACCATAGCACAGAGAGCTTAAGTGACTTGCCCAAGGCCACACAGCTAACAAACCATTTAGTCAGCTCTCCTGCTCGGTGACCTAAACGTCACAATTGCCGCAACAGGAAAGGATAGGCACATGTAATGGTGGTGGGAGTGGGAGTTTGAGTGGCATCTAAGTGAGACTTGAAAGGAGGAGTTGGCCAAGCAAAAGAGGGGGAAGATGAGCATCCAGGTAGCGGGCACAGCAGGTGCAAATGTCCTGGGTTTTGTGGGGGAGAGTTGGAGGCCCCTGTGGCTGAGGGAGGGGTGGGGTAGCAGAGATGAGCCTGGGGAGGCTGGGAGGGTGGGGCAGGCGGCCTTGAAAGCTGCAGGAGGAGAGAGATGGAGAGCCCCCGGGGTGGGGGGCGACCCCTCCTTTTCAGAGTTTGCTACTGCTCTGAACTCTGGGTCTAGTGTTTGCTGTACTTAGCCAGGAGGGGACAGGCTGACACGGTGAGAGGCTGGGCGGAGAGATGACGGTGGTCGAGGGCAGAGCAGGGACAAGGGGGGTGGGCAAGGGCATGAGGAGGGCACCTCCTTCTGCACAGGAGACCACACGGGGTACGCAGAAGGGGGCCTGGATCTGCCCTGAGCCCCTGAGGCCCAAGCTCGGGGCTCTGGGACTCTGGCAGTGTCTCTGCAGCCACATGGGGGCACCAGAGAGCCTCTCAGATGGGGCACTAGACCGACCCCCACAGGCCCCGCTCTTACACACATCCCTTGATCCTCCCCTTCCCCAGGGAGGTAGGTCCTACCCGTGTTCCCATTTTTCAGAGGAGGTGACCTGGGCTCAGGAACAGGAAGGGACCCGTCCGAGGCCACATGGCAGGTAACGGGGTGCCGGGTCCTGGGACTGTTGTTCGTGAACCCCGAGTCGAGGCTGGTGGTGTGTGCGTGGCCGAGCCGTGGCCTGGAGGCCGGGATTCGGGCTCTGGCTCTGCCCCGGCCAGGATGCCGGGCCCTTCCACTCTGGTCCATTAAGGGGCTGGGGGCTCGGGAAGTGGTCGCGTGATCACAGCTGCTGTTATTAATACCCATGATGTGTTGCTGTTAGCCAGGGAAGTGTAGGGGGACACTTGTCCCACCCTGGGGGCCACAGCAGACTTTCCAGAGGGGCGGGAGAGATGGAAGCGGCGTGGGGAGCCTGACGGGCCCTGGGTCCATGCCGGCCCTGCCACTCCCCGGCGATGGGCTTGGGCGGGTCGCTTCTCCACTCAGCTTCAGTCTGCTTATCTGCGAAAGGGGCGCGCTCCGTCATTTCAAGAATAACAAGGGAGGGCTTCCCTGGTGGCGCAGCGGTTGAGAGTCCGCCTGCCGATGCAGGGGACGCGGGTCCGTGCCCCGGTCTGGGAAGATCCCACGTGCCGCGGAGCGGCTGGGCCCGTGAGCCATGGCCGCTGAGCCTGCGCGTCCGGAGCCTGTGCCCCGCAACGGGAGAGGCCACAACAGTGAGAGGGCCGCGTAACGCAAAAAAAAAAAAGAATAACGAGGGAGCCTGGTAGGGGTTCCATATATGCAGCTGATTTGCAGACCAGCAGAGGGTGGGGTGTCCTCCATGGCCTGTGCGAGGTAGAGAGGGGCTCGGGCTATCTTCCCTAAGGGTGACCTTGAGGGGGTGGCTGGGGGGAGGGGTGGGCCACCACGGCCTCTCCTGTAGCGCTGAAGAAAGCCTGTCTGAGGGACCCCCGCACCTGGGCTTCCTTCTGCCAGGCGGGCCCTGGGTGGGCGCTAACTTACCTGCTGCTGCCTTGCACGCTGCCCTTTGAGGATGTCTACTTCCGGAGCAGAAGGTGAGGCCCGGCCAGGGGTCCTGGGAAGGGCCTGGCTCGTTGAGACCAGTGCCCGTGGCAGAAAGGGCGGCCAGAACACGGCGGGTGCAGAGCCCAGCTGGGGTCCCTATGCCGCCTGCTGTTGGCTTCGTGACCCCGAGGAGTCTGGTGGTCTCCTCTGCAAGACAGGACTGATGGGAAGGCGGGGTAGCAGCTGTGACCCATCAATCCATTGGAAACAGGGCCGCCCGGTCAGTACCTGGCCCCTCTTGCCTCTAGGATCTTTGGCCCACTGTTGCACCTGTCAGAGCCTCAGAGAAAATGTGATGTTTCTGAGGATAACTCTAGGGGCTGGTCTGCCTCAGATTAACTGTGTGGCCCGGGCCAGGTATCTTGACCTCTCTGGGCCTCAGATTCCTTTTCTACAAAACGAGGCCTTTGCAGGGCAGATTGGCTGTAGTTAGGCCCTCACTAACTGTTCTAACTCTGCTGGTTAATGGATCACTCTGCATTGTTTGTTCGTTCATTCTATCAATAGCTATTGAGGATATACCAAGGGCCAAGTCTGGGCTGGGGGCTGGGAGGCAGCACTGACTCAGACCCAGTCCCTGGCCTTGTGGAGCTCACAGCCCACCGATCATCACACATTCACCTGTGCACTCCAGCTGTGCCTAGGGATACCTAGAGAGGTCTACCCTGGCTGTGGATTCCTAGGAGAGGTCTACACTGGCTGTGAACTGAGACAGTTCACAAGAGGGACTATCTGGTCAGGAAAGGTTGCCTAGAGGAGATATCTTTTGAGCTGTCATCTGAAGGATGAATAAGGGTCCTCTAGGCAAAGAAGGAAGGGAAAAGTGTTCCAGATGGATGAAAGAGCATGTGCAAAGGTCCTGGGGCAGAAGGCAGAAGGGAGTAAGGCTTATCTGAGGAACAGAAAGGGGGGCTGCTGTGGCTGGGGCCAAAATGTGGAGTGTGTACAAGGTGGGGCTGAGGAGGCTGGCAAGGGCTAGACAGGCAGGAGGCTGTAGCCAGGTGAGGGGTGTGGTCTTTATCCTGATGGTTGCATGAAGGCAGTGAAGGGTTTGGGCAGGAAAGTGTCATGGAGAGATCTGTTTTTTTAAATCTTCTCTATTCCCTACAAGAAGGTCTATGACAGTGAGCCACAAGTCTCTGTCCTGCTCCATGCGGAGTTAATGACTAGGTCATCCCTGCTGTCTAAATTGCTGGTGACCCAAAGCTGGGAGACAGCTTTCTGCTGACATGAATTTTCTTATGCCGAGCTTCTAGACAGAAACCACAGGTTGAAATCAAAAAGGATAAATGCAAGTGCTAGCCTTTGCAGTTAAAAAAAAAATCCATTTATGAGCGTTGATGGGGAGGCCCGCCCAGACCGCAGGGAAATTCATATTTGGTATTTTCTGTAACCTACAATCTCAATCTGTAGGCTGCAATAATAGAGGCAGAAGGTCCAGAACAAATGAGGGGACAGTCCACTGTCACACTACACCCTGTGGACTTACTGTCTGCCCATTTTGAGGCCCTGGTTTAGAGGCCCCTTGAAGGGCAGCACGTTGGGAGGGGAGACCCTACAGTGTCCAGTAAGTCTGACATGGTGCCTGGCCAGGTATCCCCTCAGCCACAGCTGGATGATGCTGCCCTCTGCTGGTCCTGAGTGGTCACGGCAGCCACGGGAGGGCGCTGAGCAAGAGAGGACCAAGGTCAGATATGTGTCTAGGAAGTTGCTGGCTGCCGAGAGGGTAGTGGATGAAGGGGCGTGGAGGATGGAGGGCAGGGGCTGGTCTGGGGAGGAGAGACAGGAAGGGACAGAAACACGGAGGAGGTGAGGTAACGGTCCTCACTTGGCTGTGAGAAACTGAGGCCCAGGTCACACAGCTGATGAACAGGAGAGCGGGCTGCATCCCAAGCCAGCCTGACCCCTAAGCCCCGCCCTTTCCACCCCTGGGCTTCCCACTTGTGCCCTGTGGAGTTGATGACCCAAAGGGCCCAGCGGCTTCCACCAAGTTCAGAGTCCATCGGGGATCAGTCCCCACCCCCTCAGGCCTCTGCAGGTGCCTGTGTGTCCAACCTGCTCTGCGGTGGAGCCAACACCCCCTTCCCTTTCCTTTAGCCCTGGCGCCTCGTTGCAGGGCCCCCCGGCTCTGCTCTGGACCCGTGGGGAGGGTGGGCTTGGTGGGGCTGCACGCTTGGGCTTGGCCGGGTGGTGAAGCTATTGCCGCCTCTCCCTCCAGGGTGGTGGCGTGGCTGCCCGACATGCCGGCCGACCTGCGGTGGATGCGGGGCTTGCTGAGGAACTTGGCCCTCAAAGTCTATTCCAGGACGAAGGACCAGCTCCTCGGGCTGGGCAGGTGAGACGGGCAGACTGGGGCGGAACAGGAGTGGCTGAGCTGGGAAGGGAAGGCGCCAGCTGTTTCCCCGGACCCCGGACAGGCAGTCACACTATCCGTTTCCCTGTCCATCCATCCGCGCAGCCCCCAGCACACGTGTTTGGTCCCTGCTGTGGGCCAGACCTGTGATGGACTAGATGTAGCAGCTGACCCGTCGCATCGGTCAGTCTGGGGGGAGTCACTCTGCCTGCTTCACAGAGACGGCCTGAGCTCACGGAGGACAAGTGGATCTCCCTGCTCTGCCAGGTCCCCATCGGTCCTTCTGCCATCCTTCCAGACGTCTCCACGGGCCCTGTGTGGGGTCTAGGTTGGGGCTGCCCACCTCTCCCCAACCTGCCCTCCCTTCTGGCTGGAGAACCCGGCAGTCCTCCCACACCCAGTGGAAATCAGTGCAGCGCTCCCAGGGAGTGGCACCCTGGAACCTTCCTGCAATCCCCGCTCAGCCAGAAAAAGGGCTTATTGCAGGGTCTGGGAGAAGAGAGATCCAGGCTTCACCCAACCCCAAGCTCGCTGACTTCCTCTTCCTCTGCCGCTACTGGTCGCCAGCCCCCTCCAGCCTGAGGCTGCTCCTCCCAAGGACCTGGCCAAGGAGCCCAGACCTGCCCATCAGGGCTGAGGAGACCAAGTTGGACCAGCCCAGTGACTGGCCTCTCCTGAATTCCATCGTGGCCCTGGTCCTGTGCCTACATCTGCCCCGAGTCCATGAGTCCTGACCCATCTCCCAAGCTCAGAGCCCAGCCCCTAGCCCAGGGTGGGCACTGGAATTGTGGCCACAATTGTGGCCTCTTCCAGCCACATGGAGGACCGAGAGGACAGAGACTCTTGTCCCAGGCCTTGTGGGCAGGTGGCCTCCAAGGGCTGGAAGAGGGCCCCCGAATCCTCTGTAGCCCCCGCTCCTGGGGCCCCGGGTACTTCTTTTCTGGGCAAGGTGCAGCCTCAGTCCACCCCGGGTCGCCATGTGTCCAGGTCACCCTGCGTCTGTGTCATCAGTGGGAGAAAGGAAGGCGGGAGCTGAGACATACATCTAGGTCCTGGAATTTCCATATGAGGGGGCTGGGGGCAGAATCTCCTGAGAAGGGGGCTTTGGGTGCTGCTGTAGAGCTGCTTGCAGGGCACTTCACAGACGATGGAAAAATGCCACATGCTCGTATCAGATTGGGGAGCAAGTTGAAATGATGGGGTGGGGTGTGCCTCCCCTCACATCCTTTCTCTGTCCTGCACCAGCCCTCGGGGGTGACCCATGGTCTACGTCACTCTAGAAACCTTGACCTCTGACTTCCTCTGGGTCCATCGGCAGGGAACCCCTGACTGGAGACGAGAGGGCGGGAGGAGAGAGAGGGCTTAAAATCTTCTCAGAATCCCAGCTGCATGTGCTTCTGCTGGGGTTCCAAAGGCCCCGGGATGCCACCACACAGCGCTCCCCGCCCCTTGTTCCTCAGGGAGGGTTAGGGGGCAGCCCCACCCCGCCCCCTCCCCCTCTCGGGCACAGAGGATGCTGGGGCACCACACCGCCTCGGGCCTCTCCTAGGAGTGGCTGCTGTTCCTGTCCTCAGAGCAGAGCCCACACTGCGCCCCTGGCCAGGCCCTGTAGAGACATTCAGCCCGAGGAGGGGTGGGGAGGGCGGAGAAAGGCAGGCGGGTGTGAGAGAAAAAGGAGCAAAGGGGTAAATATGTGAGCAAAAGACATATTCATCCATGCATTTGACTTACACTTAATGAGTTATAGGCTCTGGGGACACAGCTGTAAACTAAACTTACATTCTGGTTTCGATCATCCCGAGGAGTGGCAGTGCTGTGAGGAGACAGGAGGCTGAGAATGACAGTGGGGAGGTTTTCAGGAGGAGCACCATGGGGCCAGGTGGGCTGGGAAGGCTTCTTGGAGGAGGTGGTATTTGAGGTGAGACCTGAGATGAGAAGTGAGAGCTGGGGAAGAGCTTTGAGCGCAGAGGGAACAGCGAGGGCCAAAGCCCTGGGTTGAGAATGAAGTTGGTCTGTTCAAGAAACCGAGCAGCCAGAGTGGCTGGACCATGAGAGTGACGGGGTGCACTGTGGGTGGGGCAGGGAGGGCACCGTCGCCGTGATAAGGGGTTTGGATTGGGCAGTCATTGGAGGGTCGAGAGCAGAGAAGAAAAAGGTGAGTGAAGCGTGAGTGGCATCCAGGAGGGCCTGGGGATGGGGATGGAGGTAAGAGGGAGAGAGGAGTGGGACGGAGAGTGAGGACTTGCAGGAGGGTCTCCAGCTCCCAACCCGTCTCCACGAGCCGAGGGGCCTGAGCTGGCCTTTTCCCCCTCCTGCTGTCAGCTGCATGGGGGCAGGCACAGATACTAACCCCTGCAGCAGGAAGGGGGCTGTCCTCCCTTGAGTCAGGTAGTGTCCAGGCCCTGGTGGTCCTCTCTGACCAGGGCTGGGGTGCTCTGTCCCCACTCCCACGTTCTGGGCTTGGGATTTCCTCCGCCAATGGAGAGGGAGGCCTGGCCACGTGGGTCTCCAGATTTAGGATTTAGAGACTCCGGAGGCCTCTGAGAATATCCTTGCTCCCTTGTCCTTTGTCCCCATCAAGGACACAGGCCTCTATTCCCATGGGCATCAGCCCTCCCCTCATTACCCCCTCGCTCATCAGTTCTTTGGGGCTTGCCCTGGGGCCACCTTTGTCCCCATTGCTTTGTTTTGTGTCTTAGGTGGGGAGAGAGAATCCCACCTTCCTCTTCATCATCCCCCTTCACTCAGCTGCATGTTGTTAAATGTTCCTGGCTTACTCGGCTGAGTATCTCAGTTGCTTATAATACTCTGAGAACTTCTCTTTGCTCTTTATTATTTGTGGCTCATGTGTCAAGGTCATCTATTCCCAGCTTGATAATTGCAGAGACTTTTCACAAGCATCACTCATGGTACTCCACAGTTCATAAGTTCTTTCCTGCTTTCTCTTTTATTTCGCTCTTAGACGTTGTCTCATGTGGCTTTCCCCCATTGATCCCAGCCCTGCATCCGGAGCCCATGGACCCTGCCTGCTCCCCCTGCCTGGGGGCAGCCTGGCAGGGATGGAAAGGTGGTGACCTGGTCCCTCTGAGGCTGCTCTTCCCCATGGAGAACAGCCCATGCCTTACAACCACTCCTCAGGGACATCCCCAACCCAGGCAGGCTGCTCAGTAAGCTCCAGCCCCTTGTTTGTCCAAGTCCCTCTAGGCACATGGGGTCCAGCACTGCCCTCAATGTGATATGACCAGCACCGGGCCTGAATTGCCTTTCACCTCCCACCTCCTGGTCACTGCACCCTATTGATGTGGCCTCAGAATGGACGAGCTTGGCTTGAGCAGCCCCTGTGGATTTCACTGAGCCACCATCCACCAACAGTGCTTTGCTCTTCCTTTAGCCTAAAGATGGCTCAGCTGACAAAGCAGACAGCCCAGGAGCTGATCCAGGTCAGAGCTCCCTGATTTGGTACCTTTACGGCCTCCTGACACAGCCCTTAGGTGTTACAGAGCAGAGGAGGGATCCTGGGTTCTGAATTCGGGTCGACTCAGGTTTGAGTCCCATCTCTGCAACTTAGCATTGAAGTGACCTAGGGATATCCCCTTACCTGTCAGAACCTCAGTTTCCCCCTATATAAAATGGACACAACAGCACATACCTCATGGACTATTTACTTGAGAAAATTAAACGCTCCTTGCAGACTACATCATATGGTAGGGATTGCTGCTCAGAAAGGGAGAGCAGGGAGTGACAGTGCATTAGCTACACTTCTGCTTAGTGTTAGGCATCAGACTAGGAGGACCTCTGGGCCCCCTTGGTGCCTCATACTGACCCTGGGTGGGGGAGAGTCCAGACAAAAGTCAGGGGAGCTGAGATGGGGGCCAGGACCTTTATGATGTCAGAACCCTCCTGGACCCTGCACCATGGTGTCCCATGATGTGTGCTAAAGTCATGGGGCCACCACCCTCCTCTTTCTCCTGGGGTCCCAGCCAAGGACCTCTCAGGGCCCTGGGGCCTGGTAGAGCCGTGTGGCTCCATTCTTGAGCCACGTTTCTGGGCTGGCTGCAAGCCCCCCGCCCTGGCTTTCTGAATGCCAGTTGTCTGCTGTGTGTGTCCTGATGCCTGAGGCAGATCTCTGCCCCGAGGAGCTCACATGCTTCTATTGCTATGTCTGTGGAGGTAATAGGGAATCTAACTCTCACACATGCACACCACTTACAGTTTTCAAAGCCAATCATCTCAGTTAATTCTCACAGCAACTCTTGGAGGTAAGCATCATTCTCCCCCATTTTATGGATGAGGAAACCGAGGCACAGAGAGGTTATGTGCATTGCTAAGTGGTAGAGCTGGAAATGTCCAAGGGCGCTCCAGACAGCAGAAAGACCCCTGGAGCATCACAGCTTCGTTGCGCACCTGCTCTACGATGCTGTGCAAGTTCTTTCCTCGATCAATTCCTCATTTCTTTGTCTTTAAAATCACTAGCTGGCTTCAAAGGGGCCTCCAGCTCTGCTCTGAGCCCATAACATAGACAGTTAATACCACTGTGGTCAGATGGAAGAGAGATGATTCCAGGAGGGGATTAGCCACAGAGGAATAGGTTTCTGAACTGAGTCTGTACGGAAGCCTAGAATTTAGATTGGCAGAAAGCCATTCCAGGAGAGGGGACTGCAGATGCAGAGGCAGGTTGGGGGTAGCAAGTTAAACAGACAAGGAATCTGAAGCTCAGAGTTGGGACGTGCCTTGTCCCAGGTCCCACAGCAAGTCAGTGGTAGAGCTAGAGTTCTAGCCCAGGTCAGGCTGTGGTTCTATCCTGTCTGCACACTAGAATGCTGGGCAGAAGTATTGATGCTCAGGATTCTTCTGCAGAAATTCTGATCTTGAACTAGACCTGTCTGGGAAGGAATGTGGTTGGAGCTTGTAGTCCCTGGGCACTATTGTCCTCAGGGGCCATCCTGTGGGTATGACCACCTGCCTGAGCCAGTCACCCTGTGACTCAGACTTCCTTAATATCACCTGTGGCAAGCAGGCTGGTATGTGCCAGTCTGTGTCTGGGGTCACGTGATGCTCGTGGGTGACCTCTGCCCTAGCACTAAATCCTGGCTACGTTAGGCATCCACAGACACCTCAAACCCTCTGAGATTAGCATTCCACCCAAAAATCTGAGAATGTACACTAACTGGATATTTGGTGATGTTAAGAAATAATCATTGCTTTTTAGTTGTGTTAATGTATTGGGAATGTTTTCAAAGAGTTCTTATCTTTTAGAGATCTGTGTCAAAATGTTTGTGAAAGAAGCGATATAATACATGAGTTGCTTCAAAATAATCTGAGTGGGGAGGGGTGGGTGAGAGCTGGCGAAACCTGAATTGGTAACAGTTGACAGTGGGTGATGGGTACACATTGATACGTCATAATATGCTCTTTAATTTTGTATCTGTTTGACATTTCCTTAATAAAAGAGAACGTAACCTTAAAGATTTGATAGTACATACAAATAGGAAAATATGCATCAACATAGAACATAAAACAAAGCACAACCAGGGCCCCTGGGTGTTGTGGCTGCCCAGAGTGCCGGATTGGGAGGGCGTTAGGATCTGGTGAGCTGTGCGCTTTCAGCACCGCGGACAGCGACCGGCGCCGGCTTCCCTGCCTCTTTGCAGCCTTAGGGATCTCAGAGGGCAGAGAACTTCCAGATCCATATTACTTAGGAAGAGTCTCTGCAGGACAAAAGACTATCCAGCCT